ATGTGTTAATAATGTGATATAAAGAATAGGGTTTTGAAACGGCAAGTGGCAAGGTCAGGTGAAACAGTTAGTAGACATTTTCAATCTGTTTTAAATGCTGTTATAAGACTGCATAGCATATGTTTTAAGAAACCGGAACCAATACCAGAGACTTGCACGGATGAGAGATGGAGCTGTTTTAAGGGTTGTTTGGGTGCATTAGATGGTACATTCATCAAGGTTCATGTTAGCGGGGAGGAGAGAGCGAGGTATAGGACAAGAAAAAGTGAAATTGCTACTAATGTCTTGGGCGTTTGTACACCAGACATGCAATTCATATACGTGTTACCAGGTTGTTCATATACGTGTTACCAGGTTGGGAGGGCTCTGCTGCAGATGGTAGAGTACTTAGAGATGCAATTAGTAGGAAACATGGATTTAAGGTTCCACAAGGTAATATATATATATATATATATATATATATATATATATATATATATATATATATATATATATATATATATATATATAGGTGAGATCACATACAAACCATGCTTAACTTACTAACCTACAAACTCAATAATATGCAATACTTTGAACTTCAATATGTAGTATAAATAATGTAAAGATGCACTCTTTGAATTTCAGTATGCAATACAAATAATGTAAATATGAAACTGCTAGTTTATGGCTTGAATAATATGAAACGCGTTGAACTTCAATGTGCAATACAAATAATGTAAAGATGATTTGAATGGGAGGACTAGTTTGTATGTGATCACACCCCTGCATATTTAATTATTTTTACTGCATATTGAAGTTTAAAGTGATGCATATTATTGAGTTTGTAGGTTAGTATTTTAAGGATGGTTTGTATTTGATCTCTTATATGCAGTAAAAATAATGTGATAACTTTGAAACCATATGCTAAGATAAAGATTTGTTTATTCTGATTTTAATAATCACTCTAAACTGGCATATATAGGGAATTATTATCTTTGTGATGCTGGATACACAAACGGTGAAGGATTTTTAGCACCGTATAGAGGTGAAAGGTACCATTTGAGCTTGTGGAGGCAGGGCGCCCAACTTGCAACTGCTCAAGAATACTACAATATGAAACACTCTCAAGCAAGAAATTGCATCGAGAGATGTTTTGGTAATTTAAAGAAAAGATGGGCAGTTTTGAGAGATAAATCATTTTATCCATTAAAAACTCAATGTAGAATCATCACTGCGTGTTGCATTCTTCGCAACTTCATCAGATCTGAGATGTCCATTGATCCTATTGAGGCTGAGCTTGAGAGCGATACAGATAATGATTCTAGTGATGAAGAAGAGTTGATAACACATTGCGAGCCTAGTGTTGCTTGGACCGAATGGAGAGACGAGTTAGCTGATGAAATGTTCACTTCTTGGACACATAATTAATAGTGATGTTTTATTATTGTCATTTACTATTTCAGCTTCATTTGGACACATAATTATTAATGTCATTTACTATTTGAACTTTATTTGGACAAAAAACTACTATTATGCTTTATATATTCGTTTTCTATTTGCAATTTGTTCTGTTTAATTTTAATTCCTCTTTATTAATTGAATACTTGTTTTTATTATATTATTATGTATTGAATTTATCATTTTATTGTTCGTATTATATGTTATTTTCTTGTGATGATAAGTACAGGAAATGGATCCGAAAAGTTTGAAAGAAAAGACAACTGCTAAGCAACAAAAAGGAATCGGCGTCAAGAAATCAATTGCTACTAAGCACCAATGGACAAATACTGAAAACAAAGCTCTAGTGGATTGTCTTGTCGATCTCTCCCATGACCCTTGTTGGAAGGGAGAAAATGGCTTCAAAACTGGGTATTTGGGTCATTTAGAAAAGATGATAAAACTGAAACTTCCTGGAACCGATATTAAGGCTAATCCTCATATTGAGTCTAGAACAAAGCTGTTGAAAAAACAATATCATGCCGTTTCTGAAATGCTAAATCATACAAGTGGCTTTGGTTGGAACGAAGATGACCACTGTGTGACATGTACCAATGATGTCTTTGATGACTGGGTTAGAGTTGAGTATTTATAACTTTTCTGAAATTGTTAAAAAACTTATAATATAGTTATCTTCCATACCGACTTCATATTTTTGTGTTCTTTCTATGTGCAGAGTCATCCAAGTGCTCTTGCTTTAAGGAACAAACCTTTTCCACACTATGATGAACTAGTTGAGGTGTTTGGGAAAGACCGAGCTACTGGAGCAGGAGCCGAGACTGCAGCTGATGCGATTGAAGAGCTTGATGAAGTTGGTGAAGAAACTGATTTTCAAGATATTGAAGTAGGAGATGATGACACTGATTTTGGAAGTGCATATGGTGAAGATGATGCATCTGCTAGCCAAGCAACAAGCAAGACATCAAACAAGAAAACTGGAATTGTGACAAGCAAAAAGAGGAAAGTGCGTGATGACGGTTTAACTAATTTGGTCAATGAGATAGGAAAGTTTGCATCTTCTTACCAGGAGAACACCGAGTGCCTCAAAAGTATTTCTTCCTTCTTTAGTAAAGAAGCTGCCGAGAGTGACAGAAAGTTGATGATTTTTGAGGAGATCATTAAATTGGACGCTTTCTCAAAAGAAGAAGTGATGGATGCAGGTGAGCACATATTGAAAGATGCTCACAAGCTTGACACCTTTTATGCTCTCCCTATGGCATTTAGGAAGGATTATGTCCTAAAGCAACCGGGAGATTTGGCTCCATATCAACCCACCTTTGACTTCTAAAATCCTTCTGATTGGATTATTTTTGGATAATTCAAAAATTGTAATATAAAGAAAGAGTGGTGATGATATCTCTAAACTTTAGTTTTGCTAGTATATTTTGATCATACAGGAAATACATACAAATGCCAGTGATAGATTATGTGCAATTGTATTATTGTCTTTTTGCTACTGGTATGTAACTTGCAAGTTGAAACATTCACTTGCTTTTTTGCTACTGATGTTCACTAATCTCTGTCATTTGTACAATTAAACATATTTTGCTTAAAATTATTTAGTAATGTTCAGTAATCTTAGTCATTTGTGCAATTAAACATACTTTTCTTAAAATTAATTCAATTAGTTTTGATTTTAATTATTACTAAGGTGTTTTATTTTTCTATAATTTTAATTACTTTAATTATAGGTTGTAATAAGTTTAATGTGTTAAGAGACAAATATTTAAAGGGCACTTAAGTAATTCATCAAACATGGAATATAAGATACCAATCAACCAAATAACTTAATGTCACATTCCCTTAATCGTAACCAAACACAAATGGGTTATACATTAATCACATTCCCATCTATCTGACATACACGACAATATAACATTCTCACGGTAATCTGACATTCCTTGAACCAAACATACCCTGGAGGTTATATTTTAGCCATTATCTCTTTTATCAATCCGGACTTGAAAGATAGACGAACTATCACACCTGAAAGATAAAATGTATCAGTATAGGACCCGAATGATGGAAAACTGTCAATGTAAGACCCGCGTGATTCAAAACTATCAATTTAGGACCTAAGTTTTCATTAATTTTATTATTATTTTTATTTAAAAAAAATTAAATGATATTTAGTTTTATTAAACTAATAAACTTTTGTTAAGAAAATTTCACCAAATATTAGCAATGGAATTAATAAAAAATTAAATAAATAAAAACCGATGAAATGTTAGATCCTAGATTGATAGATTTTCATCTTTCGAGTCCTATACTGATACATTTCATCTTTCAGTTCCCGAATTGATAATTCGATTATCATTCAGGTCTCAAATTGATAAAATTGTTTGCAAGAACTCTTTAGGTTAAGTTTGGAAAATTTATTAATTTAAGCTGTGTTTAGCAAAAAAACTTGCTCTATTTAGAATTACCCTATAACAAAATATACAAGGCCCGTTTTATTCAGTCCGCGGTCCGCCCCCTCTTTACATGTTCTGCGACCGTGCAGCGACGCATTAGACTTCGGCTCCGCACTTCCGTAAGACCGGAATCCACATCTTCTCCATCCTTCACATTTAAGCATGACTGAAAAAAAGCTGGCTTATGATTTTCTGGAGCTTCAACAGGAAGTAGAAACTAATGTTCTATTTCCACATAAATATGATTTTGGCACTGTGTGTACCTGCGAAGACTGCTTTCAGAAAGTCAAGATGCTTAAGAAATTCGAGGAAGAGCTGCAAGCTAAGAGGGAGCTAGTCAGGGTACACATTTTAGCTACACAACACACACAGACAAGCACACGTATAAATGGATCTTATTCTTCTTCTTTGATTAATAAACAGGACTGTATAGATCTACTCCAGTACAATTTTGAGCGTTGTTTTCATCTTTCTAACGCCTCCCAGTGGGCTATAAGTATGTTGTGTTTGCTTCGCAATAACCACAAAATAGTTTACAAGGTATAGTTGTGATTCCCGTTTAAAAATAGTATTTTTTCGAAACAAAACTTTGTAATGGGGTGTGTTATTTTCTGTTGTAGAAGGGAGGACTATCATCGACGCTTGAAAAGGACATATTGGAAGAGAAAATGGAGCCAATTTGCTTTTTGATAATTTGATTAGTAAACCCGTGGTTGTAAGTTGGCGTGCTAATGATAAGGAGGAAACTGATATCCTTCCTCTTGCATATGAGATCAGAGATGGGGTAATCATTATGCTCTTTAAGAATATACTACGTAATAGATTCATAGACTCTTTTGGATTTCTTAGTAATGCTTCTTTTACACCAGTAACCTTGAATCATTAGCTTTTCAACTACAGCTTTCCGTGGAGGTCTTTAATCTACTTATCAAATGCCATCAGCCAACCTTGCCCTCAACATTTAAAAGAATAATTCTGAACTGAAATGTAACCTGGATAAATGCCCTAGTACATTGTTTCAAAGATTAGATTTTTTATAGAGCATTTTTTTGCTTTTCGTTTTATTGGTTTTGTATTTATTGTAAAAGTTGGGATTTTCTTGTGACAGTTTTACATATACGGGAATACCAAATTTAAAGATGTCACCAGTCCCATTCTTAAAGAGCTTGAACAGATCGAAAAAGAACATATGCAGGAAAAGAAATCTGCTGAAGCACAAAAGAAGCAGCTGGACCCTATAATTTCCAAGAAACAAATTGAGAAACAAATTATGGTAATTATCTAACCTACCATCAATCCTCTGGTGTACTTGTATTGTTCTCTGTTTGTGCTAAGTAGTTTGCATATCAACTCAATTGTAGGTGGTAAAGATGTTGCCACTTAATGAATTGTATCTTGAATGTCAAAAGCTGGTTGATGCAATTTCCCCCTTTGATGAGCGCAACACTTGGTTGTCAAAAGCTTATAAAGACATTATGTCCAGTCTTTCTGATATGATAAGAGTAAGGTTTGAGTTTTGGCTACGATATCAGGTGGGTATTATATTGTATACATACATGCATCTTCATACTGTTTGATGCCATCTTGCTAGACCTAACCTTGTAAGCTGTTAATTAATCAGATTGCCTCCCTTACTAAAAAGGACCACATAATGAGTGGATTGAAAGATACACTTGAATCATTATGCACGAAGGTTTGTTGAACTAAAATATCCTAAACCCTTTATGTTTAATCAATACTGAGCATATATTTGTTATGTATAATCTGTGATTACTCTAATGAACCAGGCTGCTTTGTTCAATGGTCGGTGGGAGGAGGACTATGCTCCTTACTTTACTGCCTATGAACGAAAAGATGCACACCCCAAAAGGCCAAGGATTCAACACAGTTAGACCGGCCGGCTTAAGATGGATATTCAAAGTTGATTTAACAATCAGATAGCCGTTTTAAGTATCTAAAATGACCCAACTACCCTTTGTAAATGTCATTATAATTCTTACCGGCTTAAATTCGCCGGAATGTTGGCCGGAAGGACCACGGGTGGTGAGGGGAACATTGTCACGGACTAAATATGGACAATTTGAAAGTCAAGGACTAAATGTGGCAGTGGTATAATAGTAATGGGACCAAAAGTGGAATTTATTCTTGATTTATTAAAGGCAGTGTCTTTCTTCGGCTTGTCCATAGTTAGTTGTTTTTCTTGTTATCATGCTTTTAGTTACCAAATTAGCTAGGCAACTATATTGAATTGTTCTTCATAGTTTTTCATATTTGTAGTGCGTGTTCAGTTTTGCAAAACTGTATTATATACAATTTCAGTTTTGTTGTTTAAAGAAGATAAACATATAATGAATTAATATTTACTGTTTTGTGTGTATGCTGTTTATGTAAAGAAATTACTATTGTTTTATTATTATTATATTTTTAATTTTTAATCTATGTATTAGGGATATACAATTTTTTCTTGAACCGCTCGGGCCGGTTCAAGAAAAATAGGGCCCGAACCCGGCCCGCCATGCCCGCCCACACCGGGCTAAAGCCCGGAACCGGCCATCTGGTCCTGGTCCAGGCCGGGCCCGCACAGTAGCGAGTCGGTCCGGTTCATGACCCAGTTCGGTCCATCCCTAATTAGGGATGTAAGCATCCTTGCGTTCACGTTATGATATTTTTATACGATTGGGTTGTCTGAACTGACCGCGCTTGAGATCTGGATGGGTCGGAAGTCGCCTTCAACCGAAGAGTACGTGGAGTGGGTGGTCTGGGTGGTTTGGTTTTAGTTTGTTTGCCGGGATTTCGACGTTGCCACCATTGGAGACTACAGAACGTCCGCTGGAAGGGAGATTGGATGGTCTTTGATTTTCGGCCAAGAGTCTCTGTTTGGCACTGATCTCTTCTTGGCCGGTTGTTGGTGTTCTCCGACTTTGTGTTATCTTGGAGGATAGCTGCGTCGACAGCCTCATAGGAAGCTTGGGATGAATTATTTTTCTTTGGGCTCAAGTTACATGTGTATTAAAGCAATTTACATTTTCATTTGATTCAAGTTACATATAAATTAACCCAATTTACGTTTTTTACTTAACTTGAGTTACATTTCTATTAAGACATTTTACATTTTTTTTTAATTTTCTCAAGTTACATTTTACATACCCTTTTTTACATTTCAATATGCCTCGAGTTACATTTTATAACGTTCAGTTTACATTTCACATATGAAAAGTGATAGAACTATTAGAGGGGTAATATGAATTACATATCACGACACAAGTTACATTTGTCGCTAACTAAAGTTACATTTATCGCTAACTAAAGTTGCATTTCATTACAAAGGATTTACATCACGAAAATAATTGAAAAGACAATCAACATTTACTCTTCATCAGTGTTTTTTGTATAATTATTAAGTCAAATTATACTCGTGGGAGTATGATCCTCATCGTGGACTGCTCCCACGGTATACCAACTACTGAACACCCTCTGTCAAGGGAAATTAGGGAACATATGAGGAAGTTACCTAAAATGAACATTTTGGCAGAATGAATGTTTTGACAGTTCAATAACTTCATCTAGCAATCTAGCATGCTTCTTTTTCTGGGATTTGAATAAAAAATGATTCAATACACTTTTGTGTTGTGTAGTTCTGATTTACACATTTGATATATACACATTTATGTTAATCCTGATGTCTTCTGCCTGATGGTTCTCCAGGAAGGAAGTTTCTGTCTGCTCTCCTTCTCCTTTTTTCATCTGTTTGTTTGAGATCATGAAGTTTGACTTGGTAGACTCTGTTGATAAAGCCTAATGACAATGACATTTCAATGTTTCGTCTTCAGTCATTCAAACGCAAATTCTTCTTCTTGAGTCATTCTAGATGCATGAAGAAGAAGAAAATTGATTGGAGATAATCTCCATGTCTTCCAAGCCAGAACTCTGAGTCTTTCATGTTGCAAAATTTCTTTCTCCTTTTCGAAGATGATTCTTGAGTCAAGAGCATAAAGGCACTCTTCGTGATCATTGGATAGAACTGATATTCGTTGAGTTGATAAGTTTGGAGGAGCTAGGCTTAGTTCAAGAGAGATATTGTGAGATGAGGAATCTGAGAAGTTCGTCATTTGATGAGGATGATGAGAACCTTTTGATTTTGAAGAAGGTTTTGAGCTTGTTTTGAGAGATGGAGCTTAAATGAAGAATGAGGTAAAAGTGATATTTATACCTCTAGGTGATAACTGTTCTTAATTATTTACTGTTGGGTAGTAATTGAACATCTTGCAACTTGATTAATGGTTGGCGGCAGGCTCTCTTTTCAGGGCAAAAAGCAACTTAGATAAGTCATGAGTGAGAGTTTGGAAACTCACTAATTTAATGAAGTTGCTTTTATTCAAATGGTTGAGTCAGCTGCTTGATCACCATTTGTCGTGATAGCATGTTGCATGTTATCATAAATTCCCTTTTTTCTTCATATCTCTGATTTGATTTAAGATAATCCTCGCTCATGCTCATTAACGTAACACCTTATCGAATGTCAGCATGCTTTTGATGTATTCAAGATTAATTCCTTCTGCATGACTGAATTCAGATAAATACTCCGTAATTTATTTCAGGATCTTTTGATTTGATCTATCAGTCTTGAGCAATATCTGTAATTCTTGATTTTTCAGATAGCCCATACTTTGAATGATTTCCTGAAATTTCTTGAAACAATTGAGGTGTTCCAAACATAAATAAAACTGGGAGTTGGTGTTCAACAGAAAACCTTTGTTCTGTTTGGACCAGGAGTTCTGTTCTTTGACATAACTGCTTGAGGTGTTCTGGTCATACAGAGAAGCTTGAGGTGTTCTGTTGGCGTCAACAGGCGGCTAACATTTTTTGCAATTTTTGGATTGACTGAAAGATTCAGCTTGCTGCTTTTCCTGCTGACATAATCCTTCTTCTTTCCTTCTTTTTAGAGTTTCTGGTAAAATATAACTAATTCTCCTTTTGAACGTCTCCTTCTGTTATCCAGAACGTTGACCGATCTCTGCCATAATGATTTATTTTTATTGAACAAATCCCACCTGATCCTCAGAGCTAGTCAAGTCATCTGGTTTCTGGACTTTGTCAATTGGAGTTGATTAGTTGCAAGTGAAGCCTAGAAAACTCTTGAAAGATTAAGTATCATTTTTAGCAAACATTCCTCTGTTGCTAAAAAATCCTTTAGGGGTTTGTTAAACCTTTGATTTGAGAGTTTGCTAATGCCTTTTCATCACCAATCTTCATCTGAAGAATCCTCATTCCTTTGTTTGATTGTATCCTCTTGAAGCTTTTTTGAACATTCCCCCTGTGTTGATGTAATACCCGAGATTAATTTAAGAGGATTAATAGTACTACTCATACCAATAAGGTGCATCTCCTTTTAAGGGAGCTCATTAGCCAAGAACTCCAAAGTTAAGCGTGCTTGCACGGGAGTAGTCTTGGGATGGGTGACCCCCTGGGAAGTTTCTCAGGGCGCGCACGAGTGAGGACAAAGTGCGTGGAAAAGGCTAGTGGTGGGTTGTGAGGACAGTACTAGAGGTCACAAGTAACTACCTCGGGGCCTACGGGGCCGGGGTGTTACAAATGGTATCAGAGCAACCCTGCGACAGTGTGTTGACCCGTTAGATATCGGGCAGGCACTTAGCGGGGCAAGATTCTGGGGTTTGATTTAGAGTGTTAAGGGCGCAACGAGGACGTTGCGATCCTAAGTGGGGGTGATTGTAATACCCGAGATTAATTTAAGAGGATTAATAGTACTACTCATACCAATAAGGTGCATCTCCTTTTAAGGGAGCTCATTAGCCAAGAACTCCAAAGTTAAGCGTGCTTGCACGGGAGTAGTCTTGGGATGGGTGACCCCCTGGGAAGTTTCTCAGGGCGCGCACGAGTGAGGACAAAGTGCGTGGAAAAGGCTAGTGGCGGGTTGTGAGGACAGTACTAGAGGTCACAAGTAACTACCTCGGGGCCTACGGGGCCGGGGTGTTACAGTTGATGATTAAGTCCTTTAACAGGGTGCTCCTAATTTAGGACGCTACTATTTAGTAGGTTGTTCCTATTTTTAATAGGACGCTGCTCAGAAGCAGGGTGCTCCTATTAAAAACAAGACTCTACATAACAGTAGGGTGCTCCTTTTTAATCAAAGTCCATTTCTTAAGTTTTTATTGAGGTGAAGAAGTTCCCTCTCAATCTGTGATAATCTTCTCATAAGCAAGATGAATGTAATAATGTCTGCCTAAAACCTTTGAGTAGTTTCCCTCTAAGTTGTATGTCCTTCAATTGATATCAACTGATGATACCAATTGATAATTCAATGTGATAATGAGAAATACCTTAGGGTATTCTGGCATATATATCCCTTCTTCAAGGTTGTTCAACATTCAAGCTCTTGCATTGAGAAATAGATGTGCTAGGATCCTTTGTTGGCTTTGGAATATCTCACTGTTGTAGACATCATCAAAATCTATCTTCAGTGCAATATGATCCTAACAATCTTTGTGTGATGTTGTTGATGTTGGTTCAATCCGTCTTTGAATAAAGCCATTCTGATTGGGATTGAACATCATCTGATACATCCACTTATTCCTGGTGGCTGGAGAAGAAGATCTTTTCAGCTGGTTCTTTTACCAGCAATTTTTCAGCAAGCAACTAGGAGCTTGCCGTGTTTCTGTTTGAGAATCTCTTATTTCCAGTGAGCACAATTTTTGTGACATTCTTGAAACCGGAATGTCTTCTTTTGTCATAGACTGGTGTGTGCTCAATAGAAAATTCTTTAAACCATTAACATAAGTTTTGTTAATGATCTGAGAATTCCAGTTTATTTATCTCCAGTCTTGACATCTTCATTCCACTCAATATTTCCATCATCTTTTTGTCT